TAACAAGTTATAAAACACAGGATTTAACAAGCTATCAAACACAGGATTTAACAAGTTATAAAACACAGGATTTAACAAGTTATAAAACACAGAATTTAACAAGTTATTAAGCACAGGATTTAACAAGTTATCAAACACAGGATTTAACAAGTTATAAAACACAGGATTTAACATATTATAAAGCACATGATTTAACAAGTTATCAAATACATAAGGTTTAACAAGTTATCAAATACACAAGATTTAACAAGTTATCAAACACACAAGATTTAACAAGTTATCAAACACAGGATTTGCTACTGTTTGTTTAGTTTTACGCAATACCGCACTTGAATTAATTAATATTGCTGAAATGTTTGTGAAATATACGCTTCAGTTTCGTTGTATTGTATGTTTACACAAACTATTGTAGTCTTTTCTTGTTAAAATAACCAGTTACGCGGAGTTTACGTATAAAACATAACTTTTAAAACTCGGTAACGATACTGACAGTCAGACAGGAAAGGAAAAAGGTAACATACAGTGAACGCGAAGATTAACCGTCACCATTTTCTTCCGTTCCTCTCGGATTGCTCGATTCCATGCAGTACACCGGTAGGAGGCGCCGTCATCTTCCATTCCCGGAGTAATGGTCAGAACACTGGCTGTAGGTTTGTCCCGTGAGTTACCATTTTGTATTTGTCCTTCTAGAAGGTTACCCTGGCGATACCACTGAATTACAGGGTCAGGAGATCCACCCTGACTGGAGCAGGTTAAAACAAATGGTTCCCCTTCTCGGGCACTTGGATTGTTGGGTGTGACAACCGGTGGACCTGGAGGAACTAGAATAAAGAAAAAAAAATGAAATTGTTATAAACATCATCAATCAATTTCACTTTTGTATACATTTGAAACTGTTTTGTTTACTATTTTTATTTTCAATTTCTGAATATCGTCGGGAAATAATGTGACAATGTTACAGCATCAAAACAAATTACTTATTGTTTTAGGTGCCACTTTACGTGCAAGAATAATTTAGTAATAGCATTTAGCTTTCACACTTACTTCACATTATACGTTTATTGCTGCAAGATCAGGTTCCCGCTTAAGAAAAATATACAAACCTGGAAGCATTTTATCTATAAATTAGTTTTATTTTCCATGGCACATAACGTTAAATACATAAGAACAAAGGCCAAGGTAAGGTGACTCTCAACCATTATTTGTCAAGGTTTCTGTAAACAGCAGCAACAGCTGTTTACCTAGCTGGAAAATGACCAGATGGTTAAAGTCCTCGTCATTTACTCCGAACGACAAATATTTACTTTGATTGTGAGTCTAAGCAGTAAAAGTCTAGTAACTTCCAGAATTACCGACCATATCTGCATTTTAAACCTTTTTGTTTTGATAAACTACTTATGTGCCAAATTTCTTTACTTTTGTTGACTACAGGATCCCTAATAAACACACAATTCACACACACACAAAGACAAAAATGCTATCAATATTGCAATTCGACTCACTAATTACTGCTAGGTGTCCCCTGTGTATATTACATGAAAAATGAATCAGTTAGCCCTTACGTTTTGGTTAGTGTTTTTACAATGGGTGTTTCAACAACCAGAAATGTAAAACTGGTTGTGAAAGTCCATAATTTGAGTGATAAAATAGTCTTCCTCGTCGAATACAAAACTATTAAAAGGAGTCCGTTTGGTAGACAAAATTGGTTTTATTTCACTGAGTGAGTCTAATAATGATGTTATATTATTGATAATACTGAGTATGTCAGATACTTAATGGTTCAAGTTAATTATGTTTGAGATATATGTTCGCAAGGTCGCCTTCAGTTTCTAACAAGGAACTGACTATCCTATTTAATGCTTTTGTTTACTAACAACTATTTACGAACTGCCAAATATCCACATATTGATATGTAAATAAGATCAGATTTTACGATTATCAGTTGCCTTTTTTTTGTATTAGTATCAAAATATTTTGTAATAAACACGACTTTGAATACGATCTGATTATAGAAGGTGATACAGTCATGCACCACCGTAGTATTGCCGAATGCTGCCCTTACAACTGGCCCCCCAGTGACACAGCGGTATGTCTGTGGACTTATAACGCTAGAAACCGGGTTTCGATACCTGTGGTGGGCAAAGCCCAGATAGCCTATTGTGTAGCTTTGTGCTTAACTTCAAACAAACGAAACCCTTACAACTGTGTAACATTAATAATAACAACTCAATGTCATGACGGGATCAATTCCTCATGTTTTTGAAGGATTAATGATATCGCAACTAATTACTGTAAGAAGTAAAACTACAAACAATAAACATGACTTCCAAAAATCAAAAGTAAGGACTAGACTTAGAACTATAATGTTTATGCAGTTTTAGTATTATATTGAAGAAACGTGTTATGTTAGTACTGTAAATATTGTCCAACAAAGATAGAATCCTAGACTCTTGTATGAATCTGGGAGATTAATAATGTTTATTAGATTCAGAAAAAGAACAACAACAAAAAACAGTATGAACATTTTAGGTTACTGTCCACAAGCCACTCACTACCTTAATTACTTCTTATTTGTTCCTAAACTGGTTCTTCTGTCCTTTATGACTTTGATATCATTAAAACAATGAATGTCATGTATGAAATGTGGCAAAAGAGTAAATAAAAACAGCACACACACACACAAAAAAAGGTGTAAATAAATTTGAATAATGATACAAAAATGTAACATGAGGCGGTTTAATGTACAGGTTTCTCATTCTTGAAAACACATGATTATAAAAAGCGGGAAAATGTCTGTTTTATAAAAGTAAAAAAAAAAGGTAAAACACTAAGAAGAAAATAAAACAATTTAGTGCTAAGAAGAAATTAAGACTATTTATGCTTTCAACCGGACTAAACGGACATATCAGAGATCTCAAGAATTAAACATAGTCATCCTTGATTTTCAAATGCTGAGAAAGAGGACAACCAGTTAGCAGTACCCGCCGCCTAAATGTCTATATATATATTCGAATACCGGAATTTACGGTTAATTTTATGACGCACCCACAATTGAAAGTTTGGAGCGTGTTCAGCAGTATATCATGAGGTTGAACCTGGAACCTTCCGACCCACAGCCCAGCATGTTAATTGCTAAGCTACTCCCAACTCGAAAGAGTAATAATACATTATGGATGTACGAGCAGAGACCCGCAAAATATTTGCAGTCAAATTAGTATCTTTATTTCAACAGTACTTCTTTAAATACAGGATTTCTAGAATAATATAAAATAATTCTAATCGCAGACATCGAAATCTATAAGTCCACTTGTCTTAGGCTTAACAATAGAGTTAAATGAACACTGTAACTCATGTACGTTGTTTACTTTAGTTTAGTTAGGGCTAAAATTTACCGTATTTAGTACAATCAATAAATAATCTTATGATTGTATTCTACTACCTAAATTTATATCCACTTTTTGTTTACATTCGTTGAAATTAAAGTGCATGCGCATTTAGATAATAAGAAAAGCGCGCATTTTCAGGACAGACAAACACTGAGTATTATTACAATGGATTTTTAAAATTACTTACTGAGTACAGTGACGAGAAACGTTTGGACAAAAATATCATCTCCACTGCCTCCTTCTTTCAGCTTGCAGTCGAACTGTCCATTATCTGCTTCATAGTCAGCACGTGCAATGACCAGGTCATACCTTCCTTCGTGAGGTGCGAATTCAACGCCATAGTGAGCATCGAATGAAACTTCTTTAATTGCAGTCACGTCTTTACCGTTTCGGTTACTTCGGTTCCAGTAATACTGAATGTTGCGCGTAGCAAATGATGGATTAAACCTACACGGTAGCCGGACGTTATCCCCTTCCATTACATCTTTAGTTTCGTTCGGAAGCACCTGTGTGACGACTAGACCTAAAAAAAAAAAAAAAAAAAGTAAGGTACGAAAATAATCGTCTTTTACGGAAACGAAACATCAAAAAAAAAAAATTAGTTCGAAGAGAAATGTGCAACATGTTAATTTTTTTTTGGTGATAAATCAATCACTATAGCATCAAATAATGTAGCTTGAAAAATAATGAAATGCAACACGTTAACAGTGAAAATTTTGAGTTTGGAAAATTTAGAGAGAGATTTTTATAATTTAATTAGATGAAAATTGATGATATGCATACTCGTAAAATATTTGTTTTTAAGCAACCTCATCACTAAACAATGCACAGTTACAATTTTTGAACTAATCGTTTAAAATACGTTTCTAAGCAACTTCATCACTAAACAATGCAGTTATCATCTGAACTGATCGTCTAAAATATGTTTCTAAGCAACCTCATCACTAAACAATGCACAGTTATCATCTGAACTGATTATCTAAAATATGTTTCTAAGCAACCTCATCACTAAACAATGCGCAGTTATCATCTGAGCTAATCGTCGAAAATATGTTTCTAAGCAACCTCATCACTAAACAATGTACAGTTACAATTTTGAACTAATCGTCTAAAATACGTTTCTAAGTAACTTCATCACTAAACAATGCAGTTATCATCTGAACTGATCGTCTAAAATATGTTTCTAAGCAACCTCATCACTAAACAATGCACAGTTATCATCTGAACTGATTGTCTAAAATATGTTTCTAAGCAACCTCATCACTAAACAATGCACAGTTATCATCTGAGCTAATCGTCTAAAATATGTTTCTAAGCAACCTCATCACTAAACAATGCACAGTTACTATTTGAACTAATAGTTTATTATTAGCAAGTGTCTAAATGTCTACTTTGCCGAAGCTGATGCAGGAAACACGTGTTTAACAGTAATCTTTTATTTTCCCATGATAAAAAATAACCTTGTTCTTGGTTATTTCTAGAAACGTATAGGTATAAAGTTTACGATTTTTTTTATTAAATACACAGCGTATTTCAATAAATAATATTCGGTATATTTTTTTGTCAAATATCGTCACATTTATATTTAAAACAACTGTCACGTTATACTTGAAAACTCTGACCGAATGATATTGGGTTCACAACGCTTAGGTTAACCAACCTTTAGCGGTGTATGTAAGAGACAGACATAACTTTTGGATATCAGTTAAACACTTGGATATTGAATCACTCGTGCGTTTTTACAGTTGTTGGTTCTTGTTAGACTTTGATATGAAGTGCTAGCCCAGATGGGTTTCTTTCTTGTTACCAACCGTTCGTACATGGTTTAGCAGACACAGTAACAATATATATATATATATATATATATATAGATATATATATAAACAGCTTCTTGCATAAGCAAACGGTGGTGAAACGGAAATGCACATGCAAACTCACTTATTTTTATGCTTTGTTTATGTAAGGTTTTATATATGGTTAGCGAAACGGTAGTGAAACGGAAATGCACATGCAAACTCACTTATTTTTATGCTTTGTTTTTGTAAGGTTTTATATGTGATTAGCGAAATTGAATTTTACATTTTTGGATCGTATTCGTGTCAAAATTTCAAGTAACAGTTAAGCATATTATAAAAATTGATTTATTTGTTTCAAATAATGATGTTCTTCAGTACAATTACTATAAGTTGAATTATTGTGCGTGTTTTGTGCCACAACGAAAGTTTGAATACTAACTCCACAAAATCAGACATTCGAGTTAATATAAGCGTACCCTTAGTAGTGTGTGTGTGTGTGTGTGTTTTCTTATAACAAAGCCACATCGGGCTATGTGCTGTGTCCACCGAGGGAAATCGAACCCCTTATTTTAGCGTTGTAAATCCGTAGACTCCCGCTGTCCCAGCGAGGAAACAATTATCTTGTGTATTGCGTGTGATCGCATTTACTAAATCAGAAGGCGATGACTGATTTCAATACTTGAATTAAAACAGGTTGTTAAGTTAGTTAGTTCTACCAAGTTATACAGAACAACTGCATGAAAAGGTTGGGGGGGGGTTAAAATGATGGGTAGGTGCTACACGGAAGGATAATAATAATAATACCGGTTTTTCAGAAGCAAAAATATGATCACTTATCAAACAGGAAGTATTCATGTATGAACTATATATATATTCTTTCTTGAACTGGTTTCACGTATGAACTTTTGTATTCTTTCTTGAACTGGTTTCACGTATAAATTATATCGTTCCTTAAACGTTTAGTTGTCATAGGTGTGATTCCAACGTATCTAATATATACATCAAAGCGTAGCCTACTAGGCAGGAATAAAACTACCTTATACAACACTGCTACAGTTCACCAGCCGATAACGGACGCTTTCACGCACCACTGTTCTGAACTTTAAAAATGACTTTTTTTTTGTTTACTGATTGAGCAAGTTTTTCATCCAAATACTATTCATGTAAATTCCATTATACAATACAGTTTCTAACCAAACAGTGAATTATAATTAACATGTCCTCATTGAATACATACCACCATAAAAACAACGATAAAAAAGCTAAACGTACATACATCTGTACCAAGAGAGAATAAAGTGTGATAATCTTTAGATAAAACCAGATGTTGTTTTGATATAACAATAAGCGTATGATTGTTAATTAAAATCAATTTTACCGTCACCCGTTAGTTATAAGAACTGTGTAATTACGAAATTACGGCTATCTATGGTAAATATTTGTGTTTTATTTTCTAATTTCCTTGTGCTTTATAACACTGAGGATCCTCAGTAAGACTTACTGAAACAGAAATGGTAATAACGATCTTCAAAATGTTTCGTTCACGTTACCCACTAGAGGGTTTGTAAAGACATCTCAACAGGGTACCAAAGGGAGAAAACGAGTGTCAGTTGATGACTATGTCCCAGTGGGGTGTAACACCACACTGGATGTTTTGGGCAAGTCCAATTCACATCGCCCTAGTGGTTTATTATCAACCGAAAACCTTTTTTCGAGATGTTGCAAAAAAAAAAAAACCAACATGAATCGTGTAATAGAGAGAGCATGGCTTTCAACAGTGTAAGAAAATCGTCTGAGAATAGCAAACGAAAATAAGATAATAAAACAAATTGTTGTTTTTTAATTTCGACAAAAAGTAAAACAATTGCTGCAAAGCGAATACGATTTTATTGTCGAAAACAGCATATCAGTTTCTGAAAATATCAACCCTGACTGCAATGGCTAAGAGAGGAAAGTCTCTCCTTTACACATCGCTAAACCCGACCGCCCAAATATTTCCGACATTCCATCTAGTTCTAATCCAATCAGGTACAAGATAATCTCATGTTTGTTTTTTTCTATCAGAAACAAGAAAAAATACGAAACTCTTCTCTACATGATGCACGCCAGGTGTTGAATAGAAACTTTTTATGTACATGATTTTCTTTCATCAACGGGCAATGTTCATTCTTTCGTGATTATAGAATACAATAACAAAAAAAAAGGTTAAAACTAATCGAAATATATATATATATATATATATAACCAAAAATAACTGCGCTGTGCCCACTGTAGGGATCGAACTCCGAATTTTAGAATTATATAAACCCACAAGCCGGTCCACCAGGGAGTGCAACTTTTGAAATTGTTAGTATTTGAAAAATATGATGAGTGTCTAAAATTATGGACATTTCTGATAATTTAACTTTTAAGGAGATATGCTGTTCGTAACAAATTTTATATACTTCTTCACACTGTACATTTTACATAGTAAGTGATAACAAATAAAATCGTTATCCGATTGCTTTTTCCTTAGCGGTATGCTCAAGTCTTCCTATGCCTGACAGTCAAAATGGTGGAAGATAAGTTTTATCCGAATATCTTCCATATGCAGATTTAGGTTAATAATGCTTTGAGGAAAGTAACAAATTTAACGGACAGGGGGAACTGCGTTACAATTGTTACAGCGTCGGTGAAATCATCTTGAAATACTTTGTTAGAGCGTCAAACAAGTCGGTGTTTTTGAAACACCAAAAAACCTAAGTGCATTTATTGCACAAAACGCCCGTTGTTTACTTTATTTGGTATTTGACCAATTAACCGTCTCGAACTCTCGAAGTGGTCACCGAAATGTGGGCAGCTAGGCCTTGAAACATCAAAGAGGACTTATGGTGGTACCAGCAGAACAAAGCAGTTCGGCCTTGAAACAAAAGGTGTATGAGACAGAGGCGGCATTCATTATTTTAAAAGCGCATTTGAAATAACCAGAAGGAACTTTGTTTCTGTTACTAAGGGAGGAGGTTTAACTATAAGACATTGCCCGCGGTAACAAGTGCAAGACAGACATTGGTAAGAAGCTACTTCTAACACGTCTTGGAATACCGTCAGAATCTTAACTAAGAACAAGACCAGGCACTTTGTTTGCCTGAAGCAATGCAATCAGGAAAATTTACTTTTCATATCTTCCATTTCAATGTAGTTATAACTTCACAATAGTTGGTCGCAACCTAAACCCAATAACAACGCTGTAATGAAATTTACTGTCCTATTATGCACGTAGTCGAACTGCCAGTTATTACAACTAACGATCCTGTCTGTTCAACCAGATATCAGAATGATAAGTTTGACATTAGTTTTTGCGATCCAGAAACAGTAGATTTGTCGAGATTATTACCGATATATCTATTGACATCCTAGTCGTAACCTCAATTAGCATATATGTCAAACTTCAGTTTTACTTAGGAAATGACGCAACTGTATGTTTTAAGTTTGGAACTTGAGAAATTGTGAGGAGTAGTTCTTTCTTTAGTTTAAACTCCGAAATATTGAAAGAGATTAGGCATATATTATACAAAGTCACGCCCACATTATACAAACACTTTCAACCAAAGATACTCGTATGTTTATACGTTTGAGACAAGTTTCAATAATTTTTGAATTCAGAAGAAACTATTAACTGCAACGTCACGTCACTGTGTGATAACCTGCTTTAAGACAACACACACACACACACCCTAAGATACTGGCG